GCAGCGCTGCCCCAGAGCTCAAACTCCTCCCCCGGCTGAGCAGAGCAGCGCCTGCCGCCCTGGTGCAGCGGTGCTGGGGTAGGGGGGGATTTTTAGCACATCTCATGCTCTTCTCAAAGCTGGGGGAGGATGCCTGCAGCAAGCTCTGCTCGTGTTGGACACAGCAGGGGAGGCCTCCCCAGCCCTGCTAGCTACTGAGCTCACACCAGGGAAAAGCTGCTGGCACAAAGCCTGGGGAAGGGGGCAAAGCAGGACACAGCACGAGGGTGTCAGGATGGGGCAGGGTGGACATCCTTGCTTCCTGGTGGAGACCACGGCCAGTCACTTCCATCCTATTCCCTTCCTCATCACTGACGCAAAGGGTGACAAGTGTTCCCCAGAGGGAAGAGGGGACCAGCAGTGGGAGACAGAGAACTCCAGGGATTTTTGGTGATGGCAGCCCTATGTCACATGGCAGAGGAAGAGAAGCAAGGTTTTTCCTCCACTAGAGCTGGCCTGTCACCTCTGAATTCCCCACTCCTTTCCAGGGGATATGATTTGTCAACAGAAGCTGCTTCAAGGAGATGGAGAGTTTTCCCCTGCCTTGCCCATCTCCATCACAATGAGGTTCCTCTCTAAATACTGGTGGTGAGGTCCAAATAAGCCAAATTTTCCTTCCTCTCTCCAACATATCTGGCAACACTTCAAAGGCTCCTGCCTTCATGGACCCAACGGCATGACCCAAAATAGCTTTTTTTAAAGTAATGCTCAATAAATAGAAGAAATAAATATTAAATAGAGGCCAAGTCCCCTCAGCCTGTTCAATATATGTACAATGCATAGCAAAATAACAGTGATTGGCGGTTGCAGACAAGTTTGGTACAAATTCAGTCCCCAAAACAACAAAAACATTGAGAAAATTGCAGTTAACATAAAGCAAAGCTCAGCCGAGTGCTGCAACCAATGAAGAAAGAACAGAGCAGTGCTTTGAAACATCCCTTATCTTTGCTTCCCAGCAAACCTGCAGAAATGGTGTTGGATTTTTCTGGAGCATGGGGTTGGGAGAGGTGGGACAAGCCTCCCTTGGGGGGACAAACCCAGAGCCAAGTCAGGGCCAGTGAATGGGGAGAGCTGATGGCTCCAGGGTCAAGGAGGCATTTGGGCGTGAGCGCTGTGACTTGTGCTCTGCCAGGGAAAGGCAGCAGAGGTGCTTGTGGGATGATTCAAAATCATGGCTGGGAAAGAGCCTTTGAGTGTGACACAGGGCTCCCAAAAACCAGCCCAAATATTATCCTGATGTTGTGGCCAGCCGTGAACACCCCTTGTGTGTCTGAGCACAGCAGCGATTCACCAACACCAAAATGACCAAGCTGCCTTTCCTCCAGGTGAACCTGCTCTTTGCAGAGAGCACCTGCAGCAATCTGAGATGTTGGATGCAGAGCAAAAATCCATAAAAGCAGTGAATGAGAGAAACAACTTTAAAAAAATTTAAAAAGCACTGGCAAAAGGCACAGAGACAGAAAAACTCACAGCTTCACACAAACCCACAGAAACCCCATCTGTCCACTAACAGGAAGGGTGTACTAAAGCTTGTACTAAAAATATTAAATAAGTTAAAAAATAAATAACACCGAGAGAAACTCACATGTATATGCACATGTGCACATACACACATACACACACAGCCTTGATCAGATCCGTCACCAGAGGCTGGATTTTGCAAGGATCTTCCGCAGGGATCGCTTTCTCACAGTCTCATCTCTTTTGTTTTCCCATGGGTGGGTCAGCGCGCAGGGATAAACACGGCAGGGGAGTCCTGGCGACGGCATCCTCCCAGGGAAAGCGGCGGTGCTGCGCGGAGCAGCCGGGTTTCGGCTTGAGCGCTGGCGGCGGAGCCAAGGCAAACAGCGCGGGGCCAGCTGGCACCCGGCCGGCGCCCGCGCAGGCGACACTTCGCTGGTGGCACTGCCAACACCCCGCGCCCGGCCGGCCAGCAGACCCTCGCCGTCACCTCCGACACGTCCTAGACCCGTTTCTGTGGTCACACCCATCACATTCCTGCACAGATCTAATGAGAAACCCGAGATTCCACCATGAAAACGCGCAGCTCTGCCCTGCGTCCCTTCGTCCGTCCCGTGCTCTCCGCCCTGCGCCGGAGAGCGCACAGGGACACGGTGGCGGCAGGAGTGACTGTCACTCCTCCGGCCACCTCACTGAGAGGGGCCAGAGCTGTAAACCTTTACACGAGACCAGCGGCATGGATACATTTCAACAAACAAACAGATCCCAAAATAACTTAACGCTAGGAAAAAAAAAATAGAATAAATAAATACTGGTCCATTCTGACATACAATTAAAAATAGAATAATAATAATATTAAATAAATAAATAAATAATTTAGAGAGGTTTACTCCAATGCAAGTCTGCTTGGGAAACCCCAGGAGCGTTTAGCTGCCACGGACTGTACAGGCAGAGGCAGTCCTTGATGGAGGGATCAGCTGGACGAGTGCAGGAGCTGCCCCACACAACCCTTGGGCTCATCTCCTGACCCCACAGGGTGCATGCTGCCAACTCTGCTGTGGTGGTTCCATCATCTGTCCCCAGCCACGAGGACTCCAGCCAGTGTGAGTTTGGTATTTACACCAGTTGCACAAAGCCCCTCTTCTTTCCTTTCCTAGTTTGGGATCCTGGGCTTGCTGCTTCCTTGCTGCAGCTCCACATGTGTGTTACGGGGTGCCAAGGGGCAGGAGGCTGCTCCTGAAACACTGGTAGAGCTGGGGAGGTCTGGGTTCCCATCACTGCCTTTGGATCTTCCCAGAGAGCAGAAGGATGGGGCATTTCAGCATCAGACTGGGAGAGACTCTTTGGGGAAGAAGCATGAGGTTTTCAGCCCTTTTGAGAGCGAGTTCGCTGCAGAAGGTGGCCAAGGGGCGGCTGCTGGGGCCAGCACAGGAGGGAAGGTAGTGGCATCCTGTCTTTGATCCCTCAACCACAGCCCTAGAACATTTGCTCAGCCTTACCAGAAGCACTTCTCTCTGTATCCTAGAAAAAGTCATTCCAGAAGATGGACCCATCCCCACTAAGCCACCAACCATACAGTGCCCAGCTCTCTGCCTCAGCCCCCTCATCCTCACACTGCCTGCAGCAAGCAAGGTGAGGGACGAGGGTCTGGGAAAAAGGGGAGCTTTTGTCATTGAAGGCACAGGACAAGGGGGACCAGCACCAGGAAAGATCCTGGGAAAGAGGTCCCTGACATAAAACTTCCTCCTGTACCACCCAGATGGAATCCCTGCCTGCCCTGTACTTTCCAACAGCTAACAGATTTATAGGCTTGCTGAGGCGATCATCCAGCTCCACCACAACAGCTCGTGGCACTCAGCCTTCCTCCCCTTGCTGCTTTGTCCCTTTTCCAGCTGCCAGGGGGCTGTAGGGAATTCTGTAGATGGGGGGTGGGGGGTGGTTGCATTCCTTTCTAGCCCCTCTCCTCCTGCAGATGGTGGCTGCACTCAGCCCTTTTCTGTAACACTTAAACAACACACACCTCCTTGACTCATTAAGCCCAAACTCGTTAATAATCATGCAGGATGGAAGGGGAGGGGATGGAAAAAGGGAGGGAGGGAAGTCTTAAGCCCAAATTAGCGTCTCTAAGCACCCAGGTGTTGTAAGAGAAATAAACTCCTCAGCACCAGCTCAGCCTGTGCTGGGAGAAGCCTTTGTTACCCGGCAAAACACAGTAATTGCACAGGCAGCTGGGCTGGCAGGGAGACAAAACCCCAGGGCCCAGGGCAGCCTGTGGCTCCCTGGAAAAACAGGCAATTAGTGGGGGGCCCTTCCTGTCCCCCTGCACTGCTCCAGCCTCCAGCAACAAACTGGGGTACCAGTGCATCCTGCTGCAGCCTGGCACTGGCCCTGCAACTGTGCTGCTGATCCTGCCCCAGAGCAGCCAGAGGGGCTCAGGGAGGAATGATTGCCTGGAATCCTGCCTCAAATTGCTTCATATTTTGAGGAAGGGGAATTGGGGTCCCCTGGCTCTTGCAACACCATTTTAACCCTGCGTGTTCTGACTGTACCCCACAACTGCTATCTCTGCACCTCCCTCTGGTCCCCCCAGCAACACACTCCAAGGGCAATGCTCCCTGAAGAAGAACCTAAACCCAAGCTGTGTGAGGCTTCCTCCAAGAAGGGAAGCCCATGGCCCCTGTCTCCCATGTGTTGCCTGGCCCTTGGAGCCCAGCACAGCACCACCTCCCCTCTGCCTTGTACCCCACCAGCCCCAGGTCTGCTTCAGACCTCAGCAGGTGGTTTGCAAGAAATTCAGTGCTGGGGGGATAAAACAACCCTGCAAAAGGTGCTGCTACCTGGTAGGAAAGGGCAGGAGAAAGAGCAAGCAGCCTTTTTTTTCCCCAGGAAGTACATCAGGAGGGATTTCTAGCCTTCTATTTATAGCAGGGACTGGCTGACTGGCAAAAAATAAATATTTTCTTTGTACAGTGGGCAGCAGCTCTGGAGGAGAGACCCAAAGGACCTGGTATTTGCCTTGGTGGGGACAGCCATCCCCCCCCGCCCTGTCACCAAAGCTTTCCAGCAAACTCCTCCCCAGCCAGGTCTGTTTCTCCAGCAGAAGTTAATTTGTTGGTTCCTGGTTTTTCAGAAGAGCAAGGAGCAGAGGTCTTTCCTTTGGACCCGGTGGTAGTACTTTGGAGAGCAGTAGCAATGGGGAGATGGGAGCATCGGGGAGGATGGAGCAGGTCTGTCGTGACAGACCCTCTGTAAAGCACCGACCCTTCTTCCAGCCTGGCCTGGGGAGCTGGGACTGATCCACACACTCCGCGCTGGGGCGGAGGGGCTGCACCAGGCGCTCCAGGGCTCTTACTCCGAACCGGGGAAGGGGGACCCGGCAAAGCCACCACGTCAGTATCGGGGATGATTGCTATCGATGGCCAGGTAGGTGGGAAGGAAGCGGAGAATGCCAGGAATGTGGCGGTGACGCCGGCACCCGCTGTCAGCCAGAGTGGCACTCCCTAACGACGCAGGCTGTCGGAGCTGGCTCCTGAGTCATAGCTCCTGCTCCTGCTGCGGCTGCTCCTGGGGCCCGAGCTCCGGCTGCTGCTCCAGCTTCGGCTCCGGCTCGTCCGGTAGCTGGAGTAGCTGCGGCTGCGGCTCGGGGAGCGGCTGAAGCTGCTGTACCAGGAGGAATAGCTGCCGGCGCTGCTGGAGGAGGAGGGGCTGGGGCGGTAGTAGGGGATGGGGCGTTTGCGGGCACTGTGGGGACAGAGAGATGCGGGTTACCAGCAGCACAAGGACAGACTTCCTGCCAAAATCTCCAAAAAGCACTGTTCACTCTGGACAATACTCCCAAAAATGTGATTGTGTTTGTTTAAAAGGAAAAAGAGATCAGGTAGCTGACAGGCCTTGGGATTCAAACCAGCCACCCCCACAGCCCTGGGGAAACCTCAGCCACTCAGTCTGGTGGGCTCTACTTGATGATGTCCCAAAGAGCCCTCTGCATGAAGGGTCGAGTCAATAACTGACTCTCTCCATTGTGGGACATCTACCACAGGGCAGGGTGAAATAAAAAGCCTGTGAGGGAATGCTCTTCGTACCTGAGTCCCTGCTCTGACTTCATCTTCTTTATTCCCTTCAGCTATTGTAAATTGAGACCCTCTCCATCCTTCCTCTGCCTCCAGCTGGAAATCCCCAAGCTCTAGAGGAGGGGTGGAAGGGCCTGCTCATCAGGCTCAGGAAACCTGGTCTCCTGGAGAAACCTCCTCTGGCAAGGGCTGGGACCCAAGGACAGCCCTCATCCCCCCGGGAAGTGCCAGCTGAGCCTGTCTCCAAAGGACGGGACAGCATGCCCTTGCCTTGTGATGCGCCGAGCTTCGAGGTGGCTGGGGGAGTCTCTCCGGCGTTTCCTCAGGGGGGAATAGGAGCGGCGCCGCCGCTGCCGCTCCCGCTGCGACTCCTTCTCGCTGGAGCTGTACTTGTGCTCCCGCTCGCGGTCCCTGCGGAGGGCACAGCAGGGGGACTGTCACTGCAGGGGCTTGGGGCTGGGTTAGGGATGGACAGGAAACGACCTACAAAGGCACAGATGGGCAGAGGATGCTCAGCTCCAAAAGGGACAACTCTTAAGTGCTCTGGTGGTGTCACCTCTGAGAACTCACCACAGCTGGACAGAGACTGGCACCACTAATTGTGTCCAGGGGTTCCAGCAGTGTCTTTGCACTGCCAAGCGAAGATGGCTTCCAGGGACCTGCGTCTGTGGGTGCAGTCTGTATTTAGCTCTTGCTGGCCATGCTGCTGGAGCTGGCAGGAGCAGCCCTGCCAACAGGCCCCACGTGAGCTGAGGGCCTGGTAGCCCTGCAGGGCTCTGCAAGCCTTGCCAGAAGGAGTGCCGGTGTTGCTATGGTTTTCTCTTTTGTTAAATTCCCATACACGTCAGCACAGGCCCTTCTGTGCAGCGTGGCTGATTTCATACACCCTGCTCAGTGCCATCTGCAAAGCAACACGCTGCAGGTCAAGGGCCTGCCTGATCCCTGCATGCAGGAAGTGTTCTCCTCACCAGCACGGGGATTGTCAAAGACTGCAAGAATCGACCCTGGCAATGTATGATTTTGAGGTTAAGAAATGTTCACAGCAGCACAGGTGCTACCAGGAAAACCTGCCAAAGGCATCTGTAGGGTTGAACTGTGAGACTGTTTCCTATGGTGTATGGAGGGAATAGAGGTGCCTGGACTTCGTTTCTCTCTGCAAGGCTGTGAGTACCAGCCTCAGGGTATCTGGCATCTGCCCTCACAGCAGGGGCACTTCCCTGGGTCTGGCAACTCTTTGTCAGAGCTGTGACTCTAAAGTAGAGTGTCTTTCCCTGCTGCAACCAGATCCCTGTCTGACAGGGGCTGCTGGCTGTGTGGGCAGACCCAGCTGGAGCCTCGGGCTCTGCCCACCACTCACAGCAGCATGACAGTGATGGAGGCAGGGGAAAGTGTGAGGCAGCAGGTACCACATGAGTGGGCAGCAGATACACAAGTAGACAGCTGTACCTGCTACGGCTGTAGCGGGAGTAACTGGGGCTCCGGCGAGGCCTTGAACTTCTACTCCCAGGACTTTTTTTGCAGGATTTGGAGGAATAGCTGGGGGAACGTGAGGATGACCTGGAGACAGGAAGGAAACATAAAAGAGTTAAAGATGCTGGAGGGTGAGTCTGGCTGTACCAGACTACTCCAAATCATGAGGAGGAAGCGATGTCCCATTCTCCAGGGTCTCAGCCCAGCTCTGCGTGGCCAGTTCACCCCAAGCCTTGTGGATCCCAAACTCTTACACCTCCCCCTGCAAGGAGCCTGCCGGCTGGCAAGAACTAGACAGTGCCCCGGGTCACAGAGCCAGCCGTTCCAGCTGGCCTTACCTCTTTCCCGAGGAGCAGGACCTGCTTCGGGAGGACCTGGGCGAGGCCTTGCGGTGCGAGGAGCGGGAGCGGCTGGAGCCGGGGGAGGATCGGCCCGTGCTGCTGCAGGACTCGCTGCGGGAGCCAGGCCTGGCCGGGGAGCTGGGCGCTGCCGAGGGGAGGAAGATTCGCTTCTTCTCCTCTGAGGAACCGAGACATGAGGGTAGGCACGCTCTGTGAACATACGTTTGGACACTTTTTGAAGCTGTGGCTGAACCGGGACTGGTCCCTGGCTGAGGGGAGCAGTATGCTCCAGCAAATAAATATTCCCATCCTTCCATTCCCTAACTGGAGGTGAAAAGAACCTCTCAGCTCCCCAGGCTGCTGTTGCAGAAGACCCCATGTGTGTGTGTCAGAATCCAAGAGCTCACCCTCCAGGCTCTGCCAGGGAGAACAGGTGTGGAAGAGCTCTCATTGGCACAAGCAGCAGCTCATCTGCCCCATGCCCAACACACCAGAGGTGTCAGGCTGGCAGAGCCTGGTCAGGCCAGTGCTGGTCCTGGGCAGGGAGTGAAGTAAAAAGTGCTGGAGCAGGGCAAAAGTAGAGAGCATGGCAGGGCAAGGGCTGTGCTCCAGCCTGGCTGTGAAGCACCATGAGTGGGCACTGAGCAGGCATGTCCTGTTGTCTTTGGACAGTGCTGCATGAATCCTCCTCTTCCAGAAGTGCTCTGGAATGAGCTGGGGTCAGAGCCCAGCAGCCAGGCAGCCTCCCAGCAGCCAGGGCCAGCTGCAATCCCAGCTCCACCCATGTGAAGGCAGAGTTACCCCACTGGAGTCACCATGTGAAAAGTACAGACAGACCTAAAATTTTACCCTCTGACTGAAAAATGAGGCTTGTTCTTACTAAACCCATTACCCTGGCTCCCTCCTGTCACATTCAGTGCTCCTAAACCATATCCTGGATCTAACTTTCAGCCTTTAGGACCCAAGGGCCTGAGCTGGAAGAGCTCCCTACAACCACTGCCTGAGCACAGCCCTGGGTACCAGCCACCACACTTCAGTGCCCTCATTCCCAACATCCCCTGGCAAAAATCCAGGAATGGGAGGCAGTGACAGAGGCTGGCAGCTACTCCCCTCTCCTGAAGATGACCTGTGGCACTGGGTGGTGGTTGGATGTCCTGTGGCCCCAGTACAAAGCTGCTGCTGTGTTATCCTGCAGCCAGCCAAGTCCTTGCCCCTCCCTGTGCTCCCCACTGGCAGGAGATGCTATCTTGTCACCCTGGAGCTGTGCTGGATGAGCTGGGAAGAGGAAGGGGCATGCTGGATTTGGTTCATTGGACAGGTGAAAGAACAGCCCATAATGATATTAGTGGAAACAAGCCCCGCTTCCCTTCCCCACAGTAGGCAGAGAGGGAGAATTAGCATGTCAACCCCAAGATGCTCCTTTCAGATTGTGCCCAGAAGGGCCAGAGACTTTTTTTTTGACATGGCCATGCGCAGGTGAGCAGGGATGTGCTGTGACCACGGCCTGACCCAGGCCCAAACCCTGCCTGAGCCACAGCAGTGCCAAAGCACTGACACAAGCAATGTCCAGGGATGTGATGGCTGGGTTTTATCTTCCTCCTCAAGCTACAGTACTGGTCCTTGCTGAGTTCTGGACTCCAGACTGGCAAGACTGTGGGTCTGGTTGGTACCTGCCTGCCTCCAGAGCACAGAAAGCTCCCTGCTAGCTCACCACGGCAATTGGCGAGCGGGCAGGAGACACAGAGCAACAACGTACCAGGTATTGGGCTGCCTGCAGCAGCTACTGGTAATCACTGACCTTCGGTCTTGTCCCTGGGCATCTGGAGACAGATTTTCCAAAGCTGTTCCCTTGGTCTGGGAAAAGCAACTGGTGAAGGAATTTCCTGAATCAGAGCTGTTATCGCTGTTGGCCAGTTTGGGCTTCCCGGACGAGAAGGCATGGCCAAAGCCATCATGGACTAGACTTCTTTTCTCCTGGCTGTCCTTTGACCTGGATGAGCTCGTTTGAGTGGAGGGAGGGGAGGAAGTATCGTTTCCTGAGTCATATTCATGATACTCTCCATTCTGGCTGGCTAGGTTGCCAGGCGGGCTGTCTGTTTTGGTAAAGAGGTCAGCAGAAGACCCTGACTGAGAGATCTGAAAGCAAAAAAGCCATTTGGCATTGTTTGAATGGTTTTTGGGGGGTTGTTTTTGGTTTTACTTTGCTTTTTTTTTTTTTCAAATAAACCCAGAAATTTTACCATCATGATGCACTGAAACAAAAGGAAAGGAAAGAAAATAAAGTAAGAAAGAAAGAAAAAAAGAAGAAAAGAGAAGAAAACAAAAGCACATATCCCTAAAAGAAATCCACAGTAAGAAGAAACTTATTTTCCCCCTGCTATAATAACGGGAAGATTTAGAGATCATGCAAAGAGTATCAGCATGCGGTTCATGTTAAACAAAAGAGTTCAACAAAGTAAGTGGGCAACCAAAGAATTAAAATAACTAACTAAATAAAAAAATGTAACAGAGGACAAAGCCCTTATTTAACCTTAAAGGGGGGAGGAAAATAAAGGGGGTATATACATATAAAAACCTACATAATCCTTGCAAAGAAAACAAAAATGAAACAAAAATTTAGATGAGTGAATTTTTTTGAGCTTCCTTAATAAAGTGGCTGAATCAATGTCACCAAAATAAGCAACAAAAAACCAAATCAAATCAAATTAAGGGCTTCTGTACAAAGCAAAAACTGGCAAATAAACAAGCTTATCACTTGCAAATTAAAAAAAAAGAAATAAAAGAAAAAATAAAAAGAAAAAAGAGGGTGAGGGGAAAAAGAAAAATCCCTTTGGAAATAAAAGGTATACAGATATTTCTTTGTGTGCTTTTTACCCCCTGAAGAAGATATAGCTAATGCGCTCAAGTGACCTCTAATAAATTCCCTGGTGTCTGGCAGATAGCATCCACTTACCCATCAAGAACTCCTCCTTTAGTAGGTAAGGTGTAAGAAAAAAGGAAGAGCGGGCAACATAAGTCCATCATTAGAGTCTCAAATTACATGAAAAAAACATAAACCCTCTCTTCAATCCACACTGCCAACTGTTTGCTGCCTCCTCTATGCAAATGTCATGACTGCTTTTTGTCTGCTCGGCTGTCTCCCTTATTATTCATTTTTGTTTCCTTCTGCTTTAAATTAGTCTGTCCAGCCTTTTCCTGGAGGCTGATGGCTTGTGCTGAAAGCTGCAGCTTGCACTGAATCCCCCTGAGTTGTATGGAAATGACAAAGGGAACTCAGTGAGGGAAGAAGCAAAAGAATGGAGGAGGAAAAGTATCCCCACAGAGACCTGTGGGGAAGGGGACAGCAGCCCTGCTCCTGCCAGCCTCTGCAAGGGGGTCCAGCCACACCCGGGCTGGGCTGCTGAGCACAACAAGGCAAGCAAGAACCCCACACTCACACAGACTGACCCGGGCAGGGCTGTTCTCTGGGATCCTGAGCACCACCAAGGGGATTTACATCATTTCAGTATTTTATAGCTCAGTTTTAACTGGACTGGCATTTACCTGAGCCAGCTCAGGAATGTGGCAGCACTGGGAGCGAGGCTGTGTTAGTGCTAGCATCTGCCCTTGCTGTGGGGTGAGAATTCGGGCCCAATGCACAAGTCTCCACTCTGATGTGGCCTCCTCCTCTTTCACTCGGAGCCTCCACTCTCCTCAAACCCACCTGTGAGGTTTGGTGCAGGGTTCTTAGAGTGTGGACACACAGCTTTGGCTCCCCCCAACTCAGGACAATCTTCCAAACATGTTCCCAGCAAGCCGTGCTCCCTCAAACACGTGCACATGCCCTCATGCCACACTCTGGGGCACACAATGCCCCCATCTATGCCATGCTCTCCACACCAGGGACCTGAGCCATGCCCTCGCCAATCTGGGGCCTTCTGAGCCAAAAAACCACATTGCAATGTTGGTGCAATCTCAGGCAGCAGAGGAGACCTGGATCAGCTGTCACACAGCAGGCACAGGGCCAGTCCCTTTGGAAAGTTTAGCTCTGGACTGGATGACTTTTTCATCCTCAGAGGGGCTGCAGACTCAGCCTGTGTCATGTTTCATATGGATCTCCTTCATCCTATCAGATGGTGCCTCCATATCCACGCTCCTGCCTGTGGCATTCAATCTGTGTCCCCAGGGAGAGCTGCTCCCGACCCAGTTCAAGGTGCTAACTGGGACAGGGACAGCTGACTCGGACACAGGTGCTGAACCAGCAGTGACTGAAACCAGAGCAGAGCTCCCAACACCCACAGCAGCTCTCAGCACAGTCTGCACAGGGATGGCTGCCCACAACACTCTGCTGCTCTGCAAACACCTGGAGCTGGAGGATCTCCAGGTACTTTCTGTGTTGCCAGGGAGAGAAGCATTACTGCTTCTGAATAAGGGATTGGTTCATCCCAGCAAATCCATAATGGAGTTCCCCATCTCCACCCCACACTAACTTCTAATTGATGCTCAGTCCCAGCTCAGAGAAATCAGAAGCCTCAGCAGCAAACACGGGAAATGAAGTGATCCTTCTTCATTAGCCAACTTGCACCTTCAATGCAGAAGCCCTGGACAGAGCAGAAATGTCTCCCAAATGCTCCCAGATAGGAATGAGTGGAGACACACATTGCAAGTCCTCATTTCAGCATCTGGAACTGCTCCTTGCTTCTTCTCAGCTCTAGCAATTCTCTACCGGTCCTTGCTTACTCCAGCAGAAACTGGAATGTCACAGGAGCCTAAGGGAGCCAAATAGCCAGCTCTGCTTTTCACCAGCTCTTTCTGAAGCCCTGATGCCACATCCAGAGCCCCAAGAGATCTGACCTCTGTGCTATGGACCACTGCACTCTCCCCAGCCACATTCCAGAAGATACAGGACTGCGCTTTCAAATATGTTACCAAGTATTTTTCTTAAAAGATGGATTTTGGTTTGCATTTAAGCTGACTCCTAACCCAGAGACAACCAGCTTTTTATCACCTTTCACTTACAGGCATAAAACCAGCATGTGAGGTACTCCCTGGCTGCAGGGGTAGGATGAGCCTGGAGTGGGCACAGGGCTGCTCCAAGGGACACTGACCCAGGCATCACACACAGAAATACCTTCCTTCTGTTCCTCCCAGTTTAAACTGAAAGGCTATTACTGCTGCCAAGAAATACAGCAGTTTCTTGGCATTTCTAAACCAGCTTTTCAGACTTACTCTGGGACCTGACATCCTTGTTTCTGCTCTGCCTTGGCTGACATCTACCTTCAAAGCAGCAACTGTTGTCAGCACATCACAAAATCTGTCAAATGACCGGGAGGATCAACAAGCTCCTCTGTAGTTCAACATCTGTGGCAACAAGACTCTGGGAAGAGGCAATGTGGATATCAGTGAAATATGGAGCTGACAGTCTGGGTGAGGGCTGGAAGCTCTGCATGGGGCAGGGGAGGTGCCAGGGGGACACAGCAGCTTCTCAGCCCCACCACCCTGGGGCAGCAGGCTGTAACCAGTGGCTTCCTGCAGGCTCTAGGGGAGGTTCTGCCCTGCAGCAAGAGCCAGGACAAGTCCCAGGCTGCTCAGCTTGCCTGCCTGCTCAAACCAATTCCCCATATTGCCCACCGGATGATCTTGGCTTTGCTCGTGGTCCCATTTTACTGTTTCTGAATGTCTTGCCAGTCACCCAGGATGGAAACAGAGTACCACATCTAAAAACAGTGCACGGAGCTCAATTGAATCACACCATTCTGTGTGAGTCTGAACTCTAATGGCTTTTTACTTTTCTAGGGTGGCTTAAAAGAGCCTGCTCTTGCACAAATCTAATTCTCTCTATGTGAACATTTGGATTTCCCCCCACACACAATCCCTAATAAGTAATCAAATAATCTCAGTGAACTCTGTTTCATCCAGCTTTCAGCAGGCAACATACTCGTGCCCTCAAGGGAACCCAGGATATGTATTTATTGGATTTTATTTTTTTTTTGTTTCAAATCATTATTTAATCAAGATGAGGGGGGAGCAGAAATGAGGCACTCACTCATATTCCAGACTGTAATTCCAAGTGCAATCCCAGACCAAGAGGCAGCGCAGTCTAATAGGTTACAAAAATACAATCACTGCTCGTCCTGCAATTAAACTGAACAGCTCCATTTACTGTGCCACAAACAGCCCCGGGGCGAGAGATGACAATGCTCAAAGTTGTCTCAGCCGTGCGGGGACAGCAGCGTGGCACAGCCTCACTCCTAGCTGCAGCATTTCTTCCGTGGGTCTTTTTTCTCTTGTTTTGCAACTCACTTCAAAGCAGAGTTAATTTCTCTTTCAGAGGGGCATAACGTCTGCTTTTCTCTCTTTTTCTAGGCACTGTGCTAATGAAAGGAGTAAAACACTTGTGTCGGCGACCCCGGCGAGCCCCGGCCGACATCTGCCAGAGCGGCCGGCACAGGGCCAGCACCTGCTGGGGCTCTGCGCCTGCCCTGGGGCTCCTCCACCTGCAGAGCTCGGGGGAATGGCCTCACCGCTGCTCAGAACCTACCCCAGCTGAAAAGCCAGCTTCTGACGGAGTACAAAAGCCAGGAGTTCTGTAGGAATTCAGTGGGTTTGCACAGTTATGAGTCCCTGACTCAAGGAACACTGAGTGGGAAGATTCCCCCTTTTTTTGGCTGGATGGGGAGTTCAGGGTGAGGCTTTCTGTACCACAAGGGCTAGATGAGTCCCAGAGAAGGAAGGCAAGGACACAGCTGTCCCTGCAAGCCCTGAGCTTGGGTTATTTGGGGCTGGATGGTGACACTGCTGAGCAGCCTGGCTCACTAATACATTGCTGGGATGAACTCCAGAGAATGCCAAGCAAAGGTTTGTTTCTTTTCAAGGGTCTTTTTAGCCTGCTGGGGTGCTGGCATTGTATCCCCACCTCAGCTTGAGCCAGGCTGGCACTGCTTTGGAGCAAGGGTTTGTCTTCTACCACCTCTTTTTGGTACCTGGTGCACAGCCCAGCCCTTCAATGGATACAGGCAATGATCCTTGCCCCCAGCTGCTGCTTCCAGCACTGAGCTGTGGATTTGTCGCACAATAACCAGGCATAACCTCAGTCCCCTGGGAGGGGGGAACGGGAAAAGAAAAAAGAGAAGAACTTACATATTTATAGAAGGTTTTGCCTTTCTGCTCTTGAAGGGCCCTGTCTGCTGTCAAAAACATTCTGCCTAGCACTCAAAAGAATAGTTTTCCCTGTGTAAGCCAAAATCCAGGCTAGAACACAGCAGCAGCAAGCTGCCATAAGGTTTCCTCAGCCTTCCAGCACACTCTGTCCCAGTCCCTGCACAGCATTTCCCCATTCTACCTTCCTGCAGACACGAGCACAAAGACAAACAGCATCATTTGGACCAGCTGTACCCCACTGAGCTTCACTGGAAACCTGGCTCAAGCCTGTGATAATTTGTGGCATCACAAATGAGTTACAGTGAAAGCAAAGGAGCTGGCAAGGAAAGTGTATGCACGGTGCAGTTATCTTCATCAGCAACAACAAAGGCAATTAGATCTGTGCCCTGCAGGTATTTATATTGCACTGCTAAAGGAAAGCACTGTGGCACAGTCATCCATCTGTGTCGGTGTGGAATAAAGTGCCTGCAGCTGGGCAGGGGTATTCTGTACAGAAATAAATGCTGAACATTACCCACAGCTTCTCTGTGCCTGCTGAGGCACAGGCCCACAATCCTGCTCTCCACAGGTGCCTCTTGCTGCTGCACAGGATTAAAGGAGAAGGAGAAGCTTGGAAATTCACTGCCATAAAGAATAGTAGCAGGGAACTTTGAGGTGTTTCTGCATGTGTACATGCATGTGTGGGTGCATCAGCTTTGGCATAAAGAGGGAAAGAAGCAGCAAGGTAGATGCATAGGCAGGGCATTGTTTTGTGTGCTTTATCCCCCAGCAGTTCCAGGCCGACCTAGTTAGAAATTGTGGTTGTTTCATTACAAAGGAATGAAGACAAATAGGGTGGGGAGGATAGCAAAATTTACCACAAAGCACTTAAAATTTTCAGAAGCAAAACAATGTAGAATATAAAATATCTTGAAAAACAAAACCTTTGTTTTGGAAGTGCTATAGCATTATCTCATATTTCCCTGTATCTCTGTGTATTTTTCCCTGATCCTCCTTGGAGAGTCCCTTTCCTTTGGAGAGATGACAGTGCATCTCCCCAGGTAAGGATGGTTTGGTTCGGAAGCCCATGCCAGATGGAAGGATAGGGAGTGTAACATACCAATTCTCACAGAGGACTGAATCATGGCATTTTTGAATCCTAATTCTGAATTTTTTCACAAAATCTTTTCTTCTCCAGCTTTTTTTTTTTTTAATATGTGATCAACATATTTTGCAAGAGCACATTTTCATTTCATGCTGCTCTCAAAGTCTAACAGAACGAAGCTTATTCATAGAGCAACCATTTAACTTATGAAAAGGAAAGGCTTCAAAGGGTTGTGTATAGTCATTAATAAATGAGACTAAAGGTTCCCATTTCATTTTTCCCTTGCCAGTTTTGAGTACATGATATTTAATGACCTTATTCAGCAAAATTTCAGGGGCAGCTCTTAACCAGGGGCTTCAATTTGAACAAGTGCTTAAATGTGCTCTTGAATGGTGTCCCAAGAGAATGTACTTCTTTTGGGGACAGGAGGACAGTAGTGGCTTTCATGAGTCATTATGCCTTTTAGTCATTAAAATATTTGCCTAAGTTATTAACCCTTACTAGAAAGAACACTGGAGTATCCTGATGACTTTTACTTTGCATCCACCCCCTGCATCTGGAACTATCAAGCTCTTGTCTTTCCTTCCCTGCAGCTTTTTCATTTGCTTCACTCATTTACCTCGAGTGAAGCAAATGGAAAAGCGAGTGCAGGATGCTTGAGTTTAGCTCATTTTAAAGCTTTTAAAATTTTAAATTAGAGTTTACTCTTTCTCAGGAAACAGAACAGCTGGCAGTTGGCCTCACAGGACTTAGGAAGCCTGGCTTCCGAGAGAGGAAACCTAGCACTAATTAAAAACTAGGCTTAGGCTCAAAAGCATTTATGAAAAATATGCTGCTTGAACTAAACAACACCCTGGTGACATGATGCAGTCTTTGGCTGGCTGTTTTTTGGGGGGGGAGGAGCTCTGAACTCAGCAACACCCCCAGTTCACGACAATGAGCTTCATACCTTGTTTTTCTTCCTCTGCGTGTGCGTGCACACATCAGCGTGTGGTGTGAGGTTCTGCTCTCCACGCTGCCTTATAAGGCTTTACAAGCAGTGACTCACATGGCCCCACACGCTCTATAACGAGAGCAAATATGCATATCTATAATGTTGAGAGACAGCTTGTGCCTGTCTGTACCCACGTACAATCCCTGGGTATTTTGATCGGCACGCTGTCTGTGTGGGTGAGTGGGTAGAGTCTCTCCTCTTGCTGGCACCATCTCTATCCTATCTGATGTAGCTCCTGCGTGTGGCTGAGCTATTTCCAACTGATGACTGGCCCTAAAGGAGAAAACAACTTTGGGGCTTGGAGGACTCTGTAGTCAAAACACCTCTAGCATTACACATCCACATGTGTGACTATCAGATCCTGCACTACCTCCAGTCCTACATAGCAATTTCTCTCTCCAGAGTGCCTGTCTGATACCAACACCACAGTCAGGGCATCACACCTCTGCTTTACTGCTGCCAGGAACAAAGGGGAAGCATGCCACGGAAGAGGAAGACTGGTATCAATCTCTATCTAATATTTCTCTCCATCTCTTGCTCCCTCAGTTCATGTATTATATCATCTCTTTCTGTGTATATGGAAAAACATTACAAGGCACTGAGCCTGATTTTACCCTCAGATGCACATGCAGTTCCCATTAGCATCAATGAGGGCTGCTCATAACTTCCAAATTTGGCCCCTGGGCTTGTCAGTCCAGAGGAACAGAGATCCTAGAAGGATCCTGATAGTCAGAAAACATCCCATGCCAATAATCACCAGCTCATTAAATGTAAATGTTCCTTCTGTATATGTTTGATACCCTTCTTCAGCCCAAAGGACTAAACTTTTGGATGTAAAGACCAGTGAAATAAGTTCACATCCAGCTGAGCAAAGACTGCATAACAAACTCTTCCCTTTAAAATATCGTTTCTGGAGGCCACTTTTTTTTTTTCTTTGTTAAATGCCCTCAAATTATTATTCATAGGCTAAAGACTTTTCAAGTTTTCCCCCTCTCCAGCCCCACCCTTGGTGTGAAAGTGCTGAAGGAAGGAATGACTTTACATACATTGGAAAACAGCACCATGAATTAATAATACAGTTTAACCAAGTTCGTCTAACATCACTATAATTGAGTTATAAAAATTTCATATCAGAGTTCTTGCCCAGATTCCTCTGGCTAGTTCAAGCAAAGAAGGACAGTGTGTGATATACTTACTACTTCCTTAGAAGACAGGAAGCTGTAGAGTGGGAGGGCTGGGCTGGCTTTTTGACTGGCCTGAACCTCTGCAGAGGAGCTTCTCTTTGCCGTGATCTTTGAGTGGTGCCAGGAGCGCCTTTGCCGTGTTTTACGCCCTTCCTCCCGAGACCTGGCTCTGTGCCTCCAGGAGACAGGAACAGCCAAAATGTTATTCCTTAGGATTGTAGTAGTGCCCTTTCCCAGCTCCACACCAACCCTTGGCAGGTCTGTGCTAAGACTCTGCGTATGGGAGAATGTCCTTCCACATGACTGCTCTGTGGAGTCATGAGGGAGAGAAAAGGGATGTTTTGCTTTTCTACTTTAAAGGAAAATAATAATTTTGCATCCAGGCTTTGGACCTTAACCTCAAATTTCAGCTCCAATGCATGATTTTATGGTGGCTCGAGGCAAGCCATGACCTTCCTGCACCATAGCATGTTCCTATGGTGACACACCTCCAAGAGAAAACACTCTGCTCTTGCATGAGCACCCCTCCAATTACTGATTGCAATCCTCCCCCCACTGATCCGCAGCTTTTCATAAGAAAATTCCCAGTACTTAGGAGGAGTGAATTAGGAGAGTGGGGGTGGGCTGCTCAAGTGCTTTCAGAGAACATGAAAAATGAAATTATTATGTGTATAAATCACTTGCTATTGCAGCAATGCTGGGTCTAGCACCAGCCTCCACTTAGCCGGCCCCAGGACGCATCTGTCATCCAGAGGAGAGATTTTAATCAGGTCAAAGACAATGACTATAGATTGCCACAGGCAAATATATCTCCATTGCTAAGACCATGTTTAAGGGTTTCCTGGGACATCAGCAGTACAGAACCCTTGGGCTGGGGAAGGGACACTAGACTGGAATCAGCTGTAACAGGCTGAGCATCAGCCATGGGGATTAGAAGTGACTGTCAGATCAAAAAGCTGCAGCCACTGCTTCTTGAGGCAAAACCCTTCCATGGCTAACACCACAAACAGCTCAGCGCCCAGTGTGTGACACTGCTGCTACCAGAGTGGGAAGTGCACAGAGAGCCTGCAGGTCACACAGGCTGTGGCAGCCACATCCTTGAGCCCAGCAGGCAGTGCTGAGGACACTGAGCTTGGGAGCAGCGGCGTTACCTGCTCCGGCAGCTGGGGGAGTGGGAGTCGGAGCTCTCTGAGCGAGAGTGGCAGCGGCGATGCCGATGGGATTTCCGGGTGCGCCCACGAGAGCTTTAAGAAGCAGAAAGAAAACCCGAATTAGGTTAGCAAGTGGGGGGATGCAAGCGCCAGCAGCTGAAGGCTGAGGTCGATAATGTTCAAATCAGAAGGGAGGTATGTCTTTTAAACCAAAGAGATTGGTGTATGAAACATGGCACAGAACATCAAGGCATGAGAAATTCTCCATCCCTTCATTGCTGCAGTGACATCTTCCTGAGATATCTGCTAGCATTTTACACACAAGCTATTAGGTTGGCTCTGTAGCATGCTGGGGGAAGATTTGTGGACAAGCATGTGGGAGTGCAGCAGCCAGCACCAATCCTTTCAAGACTTTAAAGAGCCATGTGCTTGCCTTTCATCCTGCAGCTTACCCTGTAACAGCCAGGCAACTGCTCAAGACCTTCCTGTTGCTGAGCCTTGGGGGAAGCACCATCTCTGTGTGGAACCCATCACAAACCTCCAGCCCTCTCCCTAGTGTTGGCTCCTTGTTAAAAAGCAGGTGCAGAAGGACAAGCTACAACTGACAGAGTACACTCAGTAGCAGCCAGCCTTCCCCACCCTCTCCAGGTGGGAGCATTTAGCCATCCTGTGGGCAGCTCTTGTGGTTGCTGCACAAAGTACAGCTCTCCTAAGCACAGCCTGCCTTGTGCATGGTTCCTGCCTGAGAGACAGGACCATTTCCCTGGCTTCTGACAGGTGCCCAGTCACTGGTGTTGCCTTTTCTGACAGGGCCTGAGGACAGTCCTCAGCACACTGTCCCTCTGTACGGGATGGAGGGCCAGTGCCCTGCTGCAGCTCCTTTGCACCACCAGGCTGTTTCTCATGGATTACCTGGCCCTGTTACCTAAGGGCTATGATTGTCCATGCCAACAGCTGAAGTCCTGGGTGCAGAGAGCAGGGTGACAGGCTAGCTGCCACCTTCTGTGCCCTGCCCCTCCCATCTTTGCTCACCACAGCAGTTAATTTAGGTCTGGAAGCATTTCCATCTGGTCAGGCTGGCATAGCTGTGCCAGCAGGCAAAGCTAACTGTGGGTGAGCTGGTGGGAACAGCCTGACTTCATGGCCATACTACACAGGCTCTGACAGCACAAATACAACCTGCTTGGACAGCATTTAGCAACTTGCTGGTATAAAAACTCAGCAAATAATTGCTTGAGAACAGCATCTCCTTTAAGACAAAAGGGCAACCTCCAGGGCAATTCCTTCAACTCTGCTTGGCTGTTTTCTTTGATGCTTTTCACACCCAATGATTTTGTTTGTCTTAAACTTCGCATTTTGGGATCCTCCTTTCTTATTTCCATACAGCTGAAATCAGCAACACTGAACATCTTTCACTCATATGATGGATTTGTGTGAAAATCCCTGTGTTTGCCCTTCACCTCCTGCACCCTCCAATTTGTCTTCCCTTTCTGCAAAATGGAAAGGTGGTCCTGTGTGATTTAGATAACCAGTTGCTTGATGCAAAGATAAGTCAAAGCAGTGTGATTATACAAAAATCCTCATAGGATCCATCTGATCCACGCCTGGGAGCAAAAGGTTTACAGAAACTGGGAGTGGCTGAGCTCTGATTTGCCAGCAGAAAAATGAAGCTAAAATGCCTTGGCTGGTTTATCCCCAAAGAGCAATTCCAGCAGCTCTGGTTCCCTGAGGTCAGGGCACACCAGCAGGACATGGATCTTAGCTTTAACTGCACTGTTAGGGTACTGCTGTGTTAGGCTGGGGAGATGCCTCCTTTTACAGATAACCTAGGAAGACTCTCTTTTACCACTGAGTTTTCCAGGTGCAGGGCAGCCCAGTTCGAGGGGAAACTGAGCTGCAACTGTGCCACTTAATGTGCAGAAATCTTAGTGAAAAGGAGACTGGCTTCCTGCGTGCAATGGAGATGGCCTGTGCAGGCAGTATCCTGAGGCCCAGCAAAGCTGACCAGGGGATCAGTGCCCAAGGTTCAGCCACAGGACTGTTACCTTGCTCTGAAAGCAGGTCAGAAGCCACAAGCTACAGTTCCCAGAAGATAGAGAATGAAGGGAAAAACAGAGGCAGCTTACAGTCCTTCCAGTCCTGAGGAGCCCCATTTTATACCATGCCCCTTGACTACCCCACAGGACAAGGACTGTGCTCTGCTAACACTCCAGGGCTGAACCTCAATTTTTGCAAACTCCATCCCCTCCTAGCAATCCCTTCTCTTCCCCTTGACCCATTCAGATCCTTGCCTGTGTTGTACCTCATGGGTAGGTCCTAATGCAACCTCCTAGAGCAGCAACCCAGGAGCAGCTGAGGCCCTTCCCAGTAAGGGTGTGCCAGCCTGCCCTTTTGGCAGGTCAGTGTTCAGCCTCTCATGCTGCCCCCACCAGAAAAGCTGGAGCCTTCTCTCTGGATTGGGTGGACAAGAGTCTGCACATCCGTGCAAGATACACAAAGTACAGAAAGAGGTGTCACAAAAGAAAGGCAAAGATCTCCAGCCTCTACAAACCCTCTTCCATTCCAACAAAACCAGAATTGCTGGTTTTAGCTTCAAAATAATCCTGAGAAATGCTTAGAGCTGTGCCGCAGGTGTTAGCTCCAGGGGCCCCACCACACCAAGCACTTCCTAGCCCCACACTGTGCAGGCAGGGCAGAGAACTCCATGAACCACTACTTACTGTTTTTTGTGTTTTCTTTCTTCCTTTCTCTTACTTTTGGGGCTTGAAGAACTAAATAAGAAATGGCTAATTAATTTGGAGATTTCTGTTCCGATAAAAAGCTGCACAATCACACATCAATGTTACAGCTCAGTTGCCCAAGAGCATGCAGTAAAAATGAAAGGGATTCATGATTGTCACAGCACAGGGGGTCTGAGTGCCTGCTGACAAATCTGCTTCATGGGCTTGGCCAAAACCCTCAAAGGGATCAGCCAACTTGGTGACTTTGCCTTTTTCCATAGAGAAAATGAGTACTTCTTGATAATGTATACACACATATTGGAATCAGAAGAGCTCTTCCAGTCCACACCTGGGGAGTCACCAGACCCACATGGAATGAGGGGACCCAAGGGGATTCCACAAGGTAACACAGAAGAAATGTCTTCTGCCCCAGTCAGTGAACATCAACCTTGAAGAGACCATTAAACTCTTATTTCTAAGGAACCACTCACTTGCTCAACTCTTACCTGTGCCTTCTCTTCTTTGATGACAACCTGCAAGACACAAATACGTACATTGAATAAAGGGTCTCACAAAACTGGAAGTTTGAGTCCAAGGCAATGTGTTTAGGCTCAGACTGAGCAGTGAGAGAAGACCTCATGCAGCACCTGGGCAGAATGGTCCTGCCTCTCCTTTAGCTAGGTGGTGAGGGAGCAGCTGAGAAATGCTGGTGTGGCAGAAGGGACCAGCACACTCTACAAGTAACTGAGAACATGGTCCTCAGGATAAGTCTTTGGAGAGATCACATATATCCCCCATCTCTGGTGGGTCCTTTTTCTCTACTACTGCCTCCAGTTTTGCACTGCATGTAGAGGTGGGTCCATTCCCTGGTTTTCTGTACGAAAGACCAAATAGCAGTCAAGGGAAAAATCCTCTCTGGGTAACTCCAGAGCAGTCTCACAGTCAAACCAGCATCGTGGCCCTGTCTTGCCTCCTGGAGCACCCCTGGGATGACATAGGAGACACCTCTCTCATACACAACACCCTGGTGGCATGGAGGACACATCCCTGCAGCAAGTCCTGGCCCCAGTGCACCGCACACCCCACTCTCTCTCCTCTCAGCCTGGAGCACAACATCCTGCAGAAGACACGGCCTGAAGTCCTGCCTGGAGGGGCTGTGAGATTGCCTCTGGCAAAGTCCCTTGGGGCCTGTAGCTGAAATGCTACCAGGTGTCTGGAAACAACCTCCGCTGGTCACTAAGCCTCAATGGTTCATTTCATGCAGTCTTACAGGACCACCTCCAGCTTATCCTTGGCTTGCAGGGGCATATATGGCTACCAAAGGTTCAAAGCCAGAATTTCTGACTCAGGACTTCCATCACGAGATGGCATCCACAAAAGAGCATAAGAATTCCTCCTTTGGAAGAAAGTCTTTTAGAGAAGTTCCTATATCTTTGTTTCTCCTTCTCCCTTGCTCTTTGGAGATTCAAGCTCAACTTTTCACCCTGTTATTCACTTTTGGTAGCTTCTCTCTTTGGTTCAATATATTATAAATACATGAACCTTCTTAGGGAGATGGAATCCACTGTTCTCGTCAAATATTGGTTTAACAGCTGAGAGAAAACAGTGAAGTATTTGCAATTTTAAAATTTAGTCATGCTCTTTGAATTAAAAATGGACTTCAGAAGGGGAAGGTGGAAACAGTCGCTGGGGCTGGGAGAGGAGACTGGGACGTGGGCATGGGAAGTTGGTCTGAGCCTTTTTCTTGTCCTGACACTCTCTGCAGGCTGGGGAGGAAGAGGTGGAGACCAGCACTAGCCCTGAGCACTGATCCCACTGGCATTCCAGAGGATGGACAGCAAGGACAGCAGGCTGAGGCTCCGCAGACCTCTCAGTGATTTGGCTTGTCCACCTCTGTGTCCCCACACCCCAACAGTTCATGTTTCTCTGTTTGCACTGGGTGTACACCCCATTCCATGCCCTCCTAGCCCAGAGGGATTCGGGCTATGCCTCCTCTTGGCTGCCCAGTGCTCAGAGCCTCATACCTCTCAGTCCACTGGGACCAACAGCTGCCTGAGGCAGCAGTGCCTTCCACCCCTTCTCCAAACCCCCAACAGCCATTGCCACCGGGGAATTACATTTTCAAGGAAAAAAATACCTGTTTCTTTTTCGCTTCTTGGAGCTCTTCTTCTTCTTCTTCTTCACAGGTGAAGGACTGTAGGAGGGAGACCTGAGGGGGCAGAGGGGCATTAGGGACCACAGGGCTGCTCACAGCCGTGCCAGCCACTCCAACACTCTCCCCACCACCAGTGGCATCTCCAGGGCAGAGAGTGGCTGGGGCTCCTGGCAGGAGCAGGATGAGCTCAGGGATAGACCCAGGGATGAGCCTCAACCCAGCTCTGCTGCTCTGAGAGGAGGGCGAGAAGATGGCAGCACCTCCCTGGGCTGTGGAACTCCCAGGCCCTCACATCTCCATCTTACACTGATCCTTTTCCTTCACACCCAGCTGAGAGCTGCCATCCCCTTCTGCCCCACACACTGCCATGGCCACCCTCACATCCTTCACTAACCCTCTCTCCTCACACCCAGCGAAGGGCTGCCCTGCCTGTCCCTCACACTGCCATGGCTCCCTCATGCTGCCATGTCTCCCTTACGCCCAGCCAAGGGCTGCCCTGCATGTCCCTCACACTGCCATGGCTCCCTTATGATGTTCTCCCCTCACACGCAGCCAAGGGCTGCCCTGCCTGTCCCATCACACCGCCATGGCTCCCTCATGACCCTCTCCCCTCACACCCAGCCCTGCCTGGCCCCTCACGCCGCCATGGCTCACTCACCTCCTTCTCTTCTTGCGGCCAGATTTCTTTTTCTTCTTCTTCCCCCGAGCTGGCAGTGGCCGCTCCCCATCGCATGAAGGGCTGAGGACAGGGACAAGACCAAATAAACATTAAAAATAATAAAAATAAACCCTGAATGGGCTCACATGGGATTCTCTGGCATTGCCACCTCAGGAACATGGGGCAGCAAGGTCAGTGTTCATGATGGGCCAAGGGTGCGGGTGTTGCCTCATTACTCTCAAACTAATTATTTAGTCACAGTTTAAACGAACTGTCTAATAGAGATATAACAAGACAGCTCCACCACAGCTATGCTGATTATTTAAAACATGTTTGCTGAGGTTAACGACTCCAAAACAGATTTATAGGTTTTGTTGCTCTTTGTAAATATGCTTTAAATAATTAATTGGCATTTAATTTGCATACAGTAATTATTGCAACCAGATGCATCTAACTATAATAAAGACTTGACATGTGTTAAGTAGCAATTGATTAGAAATATATATATATTTATTGAGACACTATGGTAATTGAAGGAGATATGCATCTCTTATACAGTTGTTAAACCTTGAAAATAAACCCTCTTGCAAATTAATTTCTTCTTTAAACATATGATGCTGAATCATGTTATATTTCAGTGAAAAGCAAATACCGTGGTTAATTAATTCAGAGCATTGGGCTGAAAAAAATGACAGATACTCTGTGGCTACTCATTAACTAAAGCAAATGCTTGTAAAGACAGAGGCAGCTGGTGGCATCCCTACATCAGCCTAAATCAGCCATGTGGATCTCCAAACAGATCCACAGCTCCCTCTGAATCCCCAAATGGATCCATGACCAAGGTTTGTGGGGGCACAGCGAGCTCCCCAGGGCCTCTGAAAAATCACTGACAGTGCTGGGTTTGTGTCTTGGTTTCCCCACTTCTCATCCTGCCTCTGGGAATAGCCAGAGGCAAGGAATGGGTGGAAGCAGCCCCATGGCTGGAGAATGCGGTGAGATCTTCACTGCAGAAACAGGGCAAAAATTGAGCAGTTTTCTGCATCAAGAACAAACATTATTGCTAATGAAAGTACTAATGCAGAGCAAACGACACTTTGTGGGGGGGACACTCAGACTCCACCACCCCTCAACACTTGATCATCCAGGGCTTGAATTACCAGTGAAATTACACTATCATAAAAACTCAATTGCTTAGTGCTTTTAATACACTTTGGGGAAAAAAAAAATAAAAGCTCTGCAAAATGAAGGCTAATGCTTCAGTTGTGAGCTGTGAATAATGAGTGCTTCTGGTGCAGTAAATCCAGTGTGCAAGCACAGCATGGCCCCATGGAGCACCCACATCCTCCTCCTCACTGCTCCTCCCAAGGATTTCACGGATCAGCAGCAGCCCTGTGAGAGGATGTGGCACACCTTGGGCTCAGTGGCCCTTCTACCTCAATTCAGACAGAAATCATGCATTTTCCAGGACATCTCATTGTCACTAAGCTCGGACACCTGCCCAAAGACACCCAGGGACACAGCTGGGCACTGCCACAGCCACAGGAGAGCAGGGAGCAGCATCTGACGCTGCCCCAGGCGGTTTCTGCAGAGCCCTTCTCCCTTTCCCCAGATAAATCTTTTGTCTTTGATGTGGCAGCTTTCTCCTGTGCACTGATCTGACTTCAATTGTTCCTCCACGATTATAATCAAAGTCTAATTAAAAGTGTGCTTTAGATTATTGTTCTGGTTGGCCTGAAATCTGAAGATATGAAATGTGCTTTCTTGCTCTTTCTTTCCAGCATCTTTAACTGAACGGAGAGGCTTTAATCCCATAGACGGTTGAGCAGGCAGGGCTCAGAGACCCCAGCTGCTTCATTTACAACGTTTCATTCATTTTTCTCCTCTCAAGTGGTCAGGGACTAACGACAAGCTGATAACGAGGCTGTGTCCTAATGAAGGCAGTGCTGCTGAGCTGATCTAGCACAGGGAGAAGGGAATTGCTGAGGGCGATTCCCAGCAGACCTGGTAGTGCAGAGGAGAGCTGGCAGGTCTTGGAAGACTCCGAAGGAGGCTGTAGGAGGAAGCCCTGGAGTAGAAACAAACTGCAGGTTTGTTCCTGCAAACTCACACAGGGATTTCATGCGATTGCACACATTTTCTGCGCACACACTGAGCCATTGAAGCCCCCCCCCCAGCTCTCACAGACCCCAGAAGGGCTGAGTAAACATCCACGGACACCTCCCCTGCCACCCCCGTGTCCCAGGGTGGCCCCATGACGGCCCTGGCTCCTACCTGCGTGACCTGCGGTGGGCATGGTCTCGTCTGTCCCTCCCCTTGGCACAGCCATTGGTGCTGGCAGGCTCCCTGACCACGCAGCTGCTCAGCTTCTCGGGCCGTCTGTCCTCCGCAGGGTACGGCAGGCAGCTGAGCGTCCCACTGCCGGGGCAAGAGGCGACAAAGAGCCATCAGGAGCTGTCCCTTCAGCTGGGGTCATTCCCCACGCCCTGGGGAATCTCCTTTCCCTTTTGCAGGTGGGAGCTGTGCAGCTGCAAAGGCGAGGTGCGGGATGCTCTCAGTGCTCAGCTCTCCCACAGGGCTCTGGAATGCCCGGTTCCCAAGCCAAGCTGCACCCCAGCCAGGCATGCTGTGCTCATTGCTCAGGCAGAGATGCCACAAGCATCGTGCAGCCAAGGAGCAGCTGGACAGCACAGGGCCAGATCCAATCCAACAGGAACAAAACCCAGGAGCCAGTCAGGACATCTTCACCTGCATTGTGGGGTTTAGATCACCAGCTCTGCAGAGACAGCACAGATTTTGCACCCTGATAGAAAAAAAGCCACCAAAACCCTTTGCCATTTCAAATGTAGTTTTCCAAACCTGCTAATGCCTCAATAACACCTTGCCACATATCCTCATCCTTGACTGGCAGCAAACTTCCTACAAATAAGGTGCTGGGCTTGTGAACACACCTGGTCCTACTGACAGCTCAGCCTTGAGAACCTGGGACAGCCAGCAGAGTTATGGGGAACCACCTGGGCCAGGTCAGTGCCTGCAAGTGCCCTGGGAGCTGGCAAGGAGCAGAGCAAAGGCAGGGAAAGCCTGGAGGGAATGGTTTCTAAGAAACACTGGGGCTTGTGCAAGTTGAAATGGAGAAAAGAAGCCGCTGAATAGAGAAAACAAACCCAAACAAGTCTGCGTGCAAACACTCAGGAGGAAAGTAAATAGGTTTCTAAGCCCTGCAGATATTTATTTCAAAGAATGAAAAGATTAATGAAAAGCCATAAACCATACCCAGCAGGGGTGCTGAAAACACTGGGGTTTAGTGTCATCCAGAGCATTATGGAATAGATAAAGCAAACGTGAGCATGTCCAGGCTCAACCAGGCTGTGGGGTGATACCCTGGGTAGGCTGGGCTCAGCTGGCACTAAAAGTGTCCCCATTCCTTCCCTTTACCATTTTAAAGCTGATCCCAGGACTGGGCTGTGGGTGCCACTTTAGGGTCAGCTCTGCAAAGTCCCATGGCTGTGTCTGTCACCAGGCCTACCTCCTCTCCTTGGAAAGCAACCCTCTGGAGCTCTCAAGCCATGTGGATCCCAGCAGAGCAGGGGGAGACTGGGATGTCCCCCTGCAAGCCCTGCAGCCACAGTGAAAGATGCTTTGGCTGCAGAGACCACTACAGCCATCACACATGGGCTGTGGGGATAGGAGCCAGGGCCAGGTGTGTGCTGCACATCTGGGGGTTAAGTGGGGCAAGAGGGTGGTTAAAGAGCAATGGCATGTTAAAAAAGCCCCAGTTAGGCATGGCCAGAGCCTTGCATGCCCCACGGAACATCCTGCTGCCTGCCTCAGGCATGAATAACACTCCTTGGGGTTGGAGTTGGCACAGGAGCACCTGCAGAAGGGTCACCCGCCTCTTCCCACCTGTGTTTTCTCTCTCAATAAGCATCCACTTTCTCTAATAGCCAGCTCCTCCTTGGAGCCCATTTTGTAATGCCTTAACATTTAAGGATATACACAGCCAAATAAAAGAGACAAGAATCAGTGGGGGGAAGCTGGGTGAAATGTTTCTGGCCCAGAATATGCAGGAGGTGAATAGTCCCTCTTGCTTTAAAAAGTCTGTAATAATCCTCCAGTCGCTTCCTAACATCTCCATCATTTTTAACCATCCAGGAAGCTACATGGTTAATAATTTTCTGTGTGCCAGCTAATTGGCTTGTGGCCTTTCCCAAACCCCTTTTAAGAACAGCCTTCTGAGGCTCAATCATTAGGATCCATTAAAAACGTCCCCAAATGAATGACCTGTGCAAAGTGTGAGCTGGATGCATTCCAGCAGCAGAGGAAGTAGGGATCCTTCTGAGGCTGGCAGCAGGCTGGAACACCACTGCCAGGACCTGGGCACAGCAGGTGACATCCTTGTCACCCAGCCTCTAATGGGATTTCCAGGTCCTGGGGTTAAAACATATTGGCCTCAAGGCAATCAAGGACTCCTGTCCTGCAATGTGCCAGGAACCATTTCTTCTGGGCTTGGAAGTAATTATTGATGGAAATAATTATTCTCCAATTCCATCAAAGGCTGGCTTCCATTCAACCAAATGTTCTCCTCTGATGGATGCTGGGAGTCACTAATGCTTTAAACTGGCTGGTAATCCCCTGGCGTGTAGCTCCATAGACATTGATTGAATATATATATATATATATATATATACATTTTCTTTTCTTATTGTCTTTTGTGTCTTTCATGACTGATATAAAAGTGATGCAGTTTGGTGTGAATGATCTCTGTGGCCTCAAAGGAGGGATTATCACACCTTCCCTGCTGTTTGTGCCTGCAGCAGAAAAGAAGAAGCCTCTGTGGGTGTTTTTGCTGGAGCTGGCCCAGGGAGAGCAGCGGGGATGCTCAGCAGGATGCTGCTGGGAGCACAGGACTCACTCAGCCCAGGGGATGTGCCAGAGGAGGCAGGAAGAAGAGCAGGCAGGAGGGATGCCCTGCTGCGGGGCAGCACTGCTCCAGCACTCCTAGTGAGGCACGCAGCCTCCCTCCCCAGTGTGTTGGTTGCATGTTTGTCCCTAAGGATGCACTCACTCCTGGCCACGGGCATTCAGACCAGGACAAGGCAGCTGCCCACCCATCCCACCTGCCCTGCAAACTTCTCCATTTCCACTTGGCAATTCAATCACTTGCACTCATTTTTCTTTTTCGTTTCTTTCTCCTGTGCAGAAACCCAGCCTATCCATCAGACCTGTCCAGAAGCAGCACAGCTGCTCCTGATGGGAGACCCCCCACAGCAGGGCTCCTGTGGGCTGCCTGCCGCCCACTCAGTGCAGAACATGCCCTACCACAGCTGGCTCATCCTGTCCCTTCCCATCCCAGCAGTCTCTGGTCCAGGAGGGGTCTTTTGGGCTCATGGCAAATTTTGCCAATGCTGCAGTGGCTGGAAGAGAAGCAGCAGGCACACAGCGCCCTCAACTCTCCACCAGCACAAGCCTCTCACAGCCCAGCTTGCCCACCTCCACACTGTGGTGTCAGATTTGGGCTCTCACATGTATTCCTTCTCTAACAGAATGTGTTGGCAGCAGAGGGTCATGATCTATTGCCTACCCCAATACAAATGATGCAGGAAAGGTCACTGGTGGGAAGGAACCCAAACATCCCTTATCTGAAGGTGGATGAAACCACCATAAACCACTACGGCCACATGGAGGAGAAGGGATGGGTGGCTCCTTGCTGCTGGCAGTGCCCTGAGGCCAACCCACTCTGCCTCCCTTGCCTGGGGAAGGGATGTCACCCCCAGTGTGTGGGGATACCATGGAGACCAGTTAATGACTGCCCTTGCCCACAGACAGATCCTGGCACTGTCCACAGAGGATGGGACAAAGGCACAAAGCGTTTGATGCCCCAGGGAGCAAACTCCCAAACCATGCCCATCCCTCCATCCTGGGCTGCCATGCTGCCTGCCACGGCCAAATGCCATCTCATCAGGCCATGAAATGTGGGACTTGTTGACGGATGCTGCTCGGGGAGCTGAGCCCAGTGACACCCGTGCCCCCCGGCCCGCAGTGACAGCAGGCAGGGGGGTTTGCTGTGCACTTGACATTCCCTGGGTGCTGCCATCCCGGGCACTGCCCTCCCCTGCCCACAGGCTCCCGTGTCCCAGCCCAGCTCCCCTGGCCCTGCAGCTGTCTCCTGCCACAAACCTTCCATCAATCAGCCTTTTCCCCGCAGTAACCCATCTCAAGAGGACACAAAAGCAGGAAAATTTTCTCCCTGTGACCTTTCAGCTGCCAGACCATGGCACCAGACCATCTCCCCACTCAATTGTGTTGTCCCTCACCTGCACAGGATGGACCCCAGCAGTTCCAGCTGTCAGTGGCCTTATGCAGCCTCTGTGCTCTTCCCAGCTGCCCTGCAAGCAGCAGTGTAAGCAAATTGGGGCTGGACCATGCTAACCAAGCAGTTTTGGGGTTTTTTTAACCTTTACTTTCCTTTGCACATGCAGCTGGGTTGGGTGCTGGACGCACAAGCACTTCAGAAGCCCTGGGCACTGAGTGCACTTGGCAGACCTGCACTGGCAACACTTCCAAGGTCAGAGGATTTGGGATACCTAATACAGAAACTTTACTACACTCCCTGCTTCAGACCTAGCTGGCTTCATGTTCCCATCATCTCTACACCCCTCAGTGAAAAGGCAGGAGCAGATTCAGCCAACCAAACCCCCAAACAAAAAAGGCTAAAACATCTCTGATGAGCCTAAAAGCTGAGAACATTTCACTGGCATTACATGATGAAGGATGGACACCTTGCCTGGAACTGGGGACATCAAGATATGGCATCCTGAGGGGAGGGTGGAGAAACTCCTGTGCCTGCAGCTGCTTGCACCAGGGATGTTCTTGCCACTTCTGAGTAACATGCAAAAAGTGCATGCACAGGTGAGGGAATATCCCATCCTTCCTCTCCTCTCCTCTCCTCACCTGGAGGTTTTGGCTGTGCAAGAGAGGGCAGTGCTGGGCCAGGATCCCTGCTCTCCCACATCCCTGCTCTCTCTGCCACAGCAACATCACGTGTGCTTCTGCCCTGCTTCTGCCCTGGGCTCTAGTGTGGGTGATCTGAGCTGTTCAAAGTGTTTCTAAAACCCACCCTTTGGGCTGAGAAGCCTTTTGGCACCGGCAAAATGAGCCTGTGATTTTCTCTCTCGCTCTCTGGCTTTGCTTATCTGATTGAAAAAGAAAATGGTCAGACCATTCCCTTGTCCCCCGAGAGGGAGGGGACAGAAAAGACTGTTGTAAAGACATTTCCCAGCAAAAACTCCAGCAGATGTGTTTATGTAAAGCTCTTTGAAATACTCACTAAAAATACCTCTTCAAAATTAGGAGATGGGGAATATTGTGAGTGCTTCCCACAAGCACACACATACACACACAAACACCCAAGGCAGGTT